AACCCACACCCACACCCACACCCACACCCACACCCCACACCCCACACCCACACCCACACCCACACCCACACCGTAATAGCACAGATAATATTGTTGGCAAACCGCGCAAACTAGTGTTACGCGGGTTTAATATGATTGCTTCACAACAAGAAGTTTCAGGTGTTCAAGTTGCGTCATATCTAATGAACTATGGTGACCACATACTATGGGCTATTTAATTTCAGTCTGAATTTATCAAATAAAAATAATACTTGATTTCAAACTGAAGCGTGAGTCTAGGAGTGAGGGGGGGGGTGTGGGGGTGACTGAGGGTGTGGGTGTTGGTCTGGGACCCACACCCACACCCACACCCATGGTGCGGGTGTGGGCGTGCGAGTGAGGGTGTGCTAGTGGTTTTGTGTACTATAGGCTTTAGTCCCCTGCACAGGGGACTAAGCGGGGACTAAGCTTTTTGTGGGGGGGACTAAGGGGGACTTTGCAGGACTAGGGGGAACTAAGGGTTTTTAGTGAGACTACGTAATATCAAGCGAGAAAAGTTTGATTCGGAAGAAATTGGTGTGGTTTTTTTGATTTTAGAATTCAGTTTGAAATAAAAAAGCCCATAGACTCGGTGACCACTACACTACACATACGTTCAAAAATCTTTTTCTCATTTCAATCGAAAACTATCTACAAACAGAACTAAATAAAGCATGAATTAACGATAAAGAAATTGTTGAAGAGAGAATAGATGGTAGAACTTTTTAAAATAATTCTATAGATTTTTAATATGTAGTTTTCTAGAGACTTCAACGTCTTTCTACGATGAACAAGGAGAAGATAAAAGCGAAATCGAAGAACAATTTTCATTAGAACCCACAAAAACCAACAACGGCGATCAGTATGTCTTGGTCAATACTCGTCTTGACTATCAGCATCGATCAAAGGATCTAAGTGCATTGTGTTTATATGACTTTGTGAGCCATTTTCACAAGAAGGCTATCGATAAATCGGATCGTCATTTACTAAAAAATGTAACCGATCCTCAGGGCCAACAATTACCTACAGAAGGAACGAAAATGAATGAACGTCATACATTTGACAGCGTACATCCACAATCAACATCTCATCTCATAATTAAACGTTCCATTCCAGTAGTACCAGTTCTGATAGGTCCTCAAATACCTCGCCGCGAACGAGAAGAAACACATGAACGTTATTGTCGCGCGTTGTTAACATTATTCGTGCCATGGCGATCAGTCCAGAACCTTTGTGCAACGAATGAGACATGGTCTGAAGCATTGGAAGCTCGAAGGCTGTTGATCTCTCCCAACTCGCTTAAGATTATAGAAAATATAGAACTTTTGCACGAATGCAAACACGATCGGGATGAACATCTTCATCAAGTTCTTTTAGAAGCCCAAAACGACAACAGCATTGACCCTATTTTGATGCCTAATTACTATGAAGGCGACGAAAATGCAGAAGAAGACGATCCTGAACAACTTTTGCAAATGCTCTCCATCGTAAATGAGATCACGACAAACACTTACTCTGCATTGGCCGCTACTCAAGAACAACGCTATGTTCATGATGCATTACAAGCAATTGATAATACAGATAGATTTGCATTACTAAATGGTGAGTTAATTACTATTATATTTCGAAAATATTTTGTTTTGATTTAGACAGCAGACACATTTGGGACCAAAATAATTATGGCACCATACACGACATCAACACATTTGTGGTAGCTCACGCACATCACAGCGTCATGATTAAAGGATGGAAACGTGACATTGAAGGTCGACGAGATGAAGCAAGAAACTATTTAATTTCAGGTGAAAATACTCTGGAAGTGCGAGATGATGAAACACAGATTGAAGTCGTAGCAACTGAAATTCCAACAAGTCCCATTAAAACGAGAGCTACAAGAGTTCCACCTGTGACTACAACCAATGCAATATTATTTCCAACAAAACAAGATATTATCAGACAATTTACACTAAGCACTCAGCAAAAATATGCTTTTATGATTATAACTAGTCACTTAGATGGCGAAAATCATGCTTATACCGGTATATAATATGTTATTGATTTTGTTATTGAAAATTTTGAATAGTCTTGATATTTAGATACTATCGATAATCAGTTATTAATGTGCATACCTGGTTGCGGTGGTACTGGAAAATCTCAGTTGATTCGTGCAATTACCAAATATTTCCAAGTAACCAAGAGGGACAAGATGTTGCGTAAACTGGCACCAACGTCTATAGCAGCAGCTGAAATTGATGGATTAACTATCCATTCATTTTTAGGTGAAAGTCGCAAAAACAGTAAAAAGAAACAAACCCGTATATTTAGACCTGGCGATACGAAATTGGAAAATGAATGGCGTCATGTGAAGTACTTGATAATCGATGAGATGAGTATGGTAGGACTTAGCCTATTAGCTCGTCTCAATCGAATAGTGAAAACAGCCAAGCACGTAAATTCTGAGATACCTTTTGGTGGTGTCAATGTCATTTTCTTTGGCGACTATCTTCAATATTCTCCTGTTTTAGACAAGCCTCTCTACTATAGCTGCGCATCGACACAGCAAATTACAGAACGTCAGATAGATATGTTGTGTGCACAGAAGCTTATGTCTGAAATAAACTGCGTTGTTGAATTAACTCAGCAAATGCGAACCGAAGACATAAGATATTTGGAGCTTTTAAATAGATTAAGACATGGACAATCGACAATAGAAGATTACCAACTTCTGTGTACGAGAGTCATAGGAAATCCAAAACTTCAAGTATCTCTACAACAAAAGCCATGGAACGAAGTATGCACATTCATTTTCTCTGTGTATCACATTACTTTTCTTTCAATAGGCTCCAATACTGGTTTTTCGGAATACGCTACGCACTCAAATTAACAATAGGGCTGTCTTAAACAAAACAATGGAAATGGGACTTACCCCAATTGTTTGTATTGCTCAAGATTATATTCAAGGAAAAACCTGTGGATGATCTACGATTACGTAAAGCGATACTTGAACTACCTGACAATAAAACTGAACATCTTCCAGGGTATCTGCCTCTCGTACCAGGAATGCCAGTTTTACTCACAGAAAACATCGCTACCGAACTGGGACTCTCCAACGGTACACGTGGAATCTTTCGTCAACTTGTATACGATGAATCACCAGAAGATGTTCGATACCAGGATAAGAATTTTCCACCAAATACCAAGTTTATAACGCAATCAAAGTACGCTTTAGTAGAATTTCCTGGTTGCAAACTTAATACCAAACTTGCTGAACTGCAGTCCAAAATAGTTCCTATAGCTATTAGTGAAAAAACATTCTTGTTCGACGCCAAAGAACTTCTTCCAGAAAATGTAGCAAAAGCAGCCAAAATAAATAAGAAAACAACAAAACTCACCGTCAAACGTAAAGCACTTCCGCTTATACCCGCATACAGCATGACAACACATAAAAGCCAAGGCCAAACACTCGGTAAAATTATCGTCGATCTGGTGATGCCGCCTGGTCCAATTGAACTCGCATCGGTTTATGTTCCATTATCTCGTGTAAAGAGACTTGACGATTTACTAATCATACGTCCATTCGAATTTGGAACACTTCAAGTTAAACCATCAACGGCCCAAATAGAAGAACTTAAAAGATTAGATAAAATAGCACAAAGTACTCGGAAACGTTTTCAATTCATTGTTTAAAACAACAACATCCCAAGAGTGCCGTGATCTTCAGGCAAACCATCTAACTGATAAAAAAAAACTCTATATTGCATGCTCGAAATCTGTCCGTTATACAATTATAGCCATTAGATCATTTGTAAAACCTCTATGAAACTCTATTTGAAATAAAAGCCATCAAGATAAAAGAGAATGAAAAGAATTTGAACAGTGTAAACCCGCTGTATCGTAGGAAGTCACTATTGCTTGCGCATTCAATCCGAATCCCAAGCAGCATTTGACAGCTATACACTACAACAAAAGCTACATTTCACACGCACCATATCAGAAAACTTTCTTAAGTACGGATTTCAGAAAGGACCAGTAATGACAACATAGTTTTCTTACCAACATCGCCGCTAATACTCGCAGTGCACTTTCATGGAACCTCGTCGTAATAAACCGACAAACTATATCGAGAACTAAAGGTAATCGAACGACCCTCATTTCATTAAATAAACTTCCATAAACAACAAGCATAGTAGCATTAGCTACCACATCCCACTAAAAATTCCAGAAAATATCGAAGAATACTGCCTCAATAGGTTTTCCAACCATCCTCAAATCTAAACTTTCAGTTGCAAAACATATAAGGAGCATATAGGTGCAGGATCAGTGTGGGCCTCGCTGTGGGATGCATAAGAACACGTTTCATTTAATCCCAAGTCCAAACACACACCAACACCCCAACCCATCCAAACGTACCCAACATCTACACCCACACTCACGCACACCCAGACCCGCACACTCACATCCACAGCCACCCACACCAATATATACACCCACACTCACCACAACCACACTCCATCAAAACCACACCCCATCAAAACCACACCCTACATCATACCCCACTGACACCTACACCCACACTCACACCCTCACCCACACCCACACCCATTCACCCTCAAACCCACTCGCATCCACTCACACCCTCACATCCACACCGAAATGGAAACCTTAAATTGGTGCAACTCCAAACTCACAAAATCTCATTGGTATAAAAGTAACGCTCGTCCGGGGACTCGCTCAGCTCTTTCTACTAGAAATGGTGTTTCTGAACTATCAACAAACCATTTACTTGTACAATTTCAAAAACTGCGAACATACAAGCAATCAAACAATTTATTTTTGCTAGACTCTTCTCTACGAGAAAGGGAATAAAAATTCTTTTTTGTAAAAAAAGTGGCCCTTTGTTTAAAAGAATGATCCACAAAATAATTTCAAAAAACTGACCTCAGATTCGAGTTCCTTGACCTCGATTACCTTTGACCAAGCTTTATAAAAAAAATTATTTTTAGCAAAAAAAGTGATTCTTTGTGTAGAAACATCGATCCAAAAAAAAATTTCAAAAAATTAACATCAGATTCGAGTTCTTCGACCTTGATTACCCTTCGGTCAACCTTTATAAAAAAAATTTTTTTGTAAAAAAAGTGATTCTTTGTGTAAAAAAAATCGATCCGAAAAAAATTTCAAAAAACTAACATCAGATTCGAGTTCCTCGACCCCGATTACCCTTCGGTCAACCCTTATAAAAAAATTTTTTTTGGTAAAAAAGTGATCCTTTCTGTAAAAAAAATCGATCCGAAAAAAATTTCAAAAAATTAACATCAGATTCGAGTTCTCGACCCTGATTACCCTTCGGTCAACCCTTATAAAAAAATTTTTTTTTGTAAAAAAAGTGATCTTTTGTGTAAAAAAAATCGATCCGAAAAAAATTTCAAAAAACTAACATCAGATTCGAGTTCCTCGACCCCGATTACCCTCCGGTCAACCCTTATAAAAACGATGATGTGAGAGGTCAAAAAAACATTTTTTTGTTCTGTGCGAACGAACGAACGAACGGACGGACGGAGTCACGAACATACGAACCTTGCTCGGTGTATGACCCTCCTTTCAGTAGAGGGAACTAGTTTCGAGACGATGTTTTATTCAATTAATTCAAAAGAACCTTTTTCTTCAATGGTCTTTTAAATCAAGATAATCAACTGAATATGATCGACATTTTCGCAGAAATGAAACTTAGATTGAGATCTATGAATGTGGTTTCGATGATGAAATCAGTTATTTGTTTTGAAAATAAATGATTGATTCTTGAAGATACGCTGGACGAAGTTTCATCCGGTTCAATCTTCATTAGATCAAAAAGACGAATATTTCAAAAGTGAGGAAAACCTCGACAAAAATATTACCAGTTTTCTCTGCTGCTTTAGGATCTCACAGATATGACAAAAGTTTTGAAATACTAAAGACGACTATATATTTGCGACAGAGTAAAAACTAACAACTAATTCGAATAGTTTGCAACCAAGTTTTAATATATATTTATGTCTTTACTTTTCATACAATGGCAGTTGAGAACTAAGAGGATCAAATTTCAAATTTCTCATAATGGTCTTTCAAATAATATTTCTCAATCACTTCTCCTTTGTTTTGTTCAACCTATCACGACTTTTGAAAGAAAGAAAACATAACCTTTTCTTTTAGAACATCCTATATCTCTAATCAACAATATTTAACAAATTCTAAAACAGTTCATCGTTTTATTTCTATGAGCGTTGACTTTCGATTTATGTCATTGTTGAGATTAACTTGAAAGAAATTTTAAAAAAATATCAGATAATCTTGTGATTTTCCTCGAATTCTTTCCTACACGATTTGTTCCCTGTTGAACACGAATAAAGTTCAAAGCATTAAAACTAAAAGGAATAATACATGTAACTATTCTAAATACGTGATAGAATAATCGTCTACATTTTCGGAAGATATTCCAATAAGAGACTCACAAGAGTTATAAAAAAATTTGACACGTAGAAAAGATTCTTTCGATTCAACTCGGTATCATTTGTACTTCGGTTGAAAATGGACACATAGTATCCATCTTCACTCTGAAAATTGAGTGCTGATGATTCGTCGGCAAAGATACACCATTCGTGTACCTTCGACGAGATATTTTTCGATTAAAGAATAAAAGTTATTTTCATTGAATACCGAAAAACTCATCAACTGTTACATCAAATAACTCCACTTTACGGTAACAACAAAACAAGAAGGTAAGGTGAGACATGAAGAACAACTTTTTAATGATTCACTCTTTGGAAAAGTGATCGATAGGCGAACGATCTTTCGAAAGAAATATTTACTTGCAAACAATCTTCTAAACAGAGGTAATTGAACTTGTATGTCACAGAAACATACGAAGAAATAAGTTTTCAAACATGGATGATAGATTCATTGATCTTTATTATTGTTTCGTTTGATTTCATATTCGCATGTATTTTCTTTTTGTTCTTTGTTTTTTTTTGAAAACAAATTTATCATGTTTCCTTATGGTGATTAAACCGGATTCAAGTTTCGAGGAACTGCATTTCAAAATTTAACTGATTTTGAAAGTGTTTTTTTTTTGTCGAATGAAACATATTGACAATGAAAGATCTTGCGATCTTTTTTTCTAGCGAATGTCAAAGAGACAAACGAATGTTGACGAAACCGATTTGTTTTATTAATACAGATGAACAATAAATGAGATTTTCAAAATATTTTATGATGAATTCATTGTTCGACAATATGCTCATTCTTATTTAATGTAAAACCGAGTCATTTCGTTTTAGTATTGAGAAATCTGTTATATTCTTTGAATGTTCAAACATTTTAATGTAAACAATTATCTTATGTAAATATCGAGATTTCTGTCACTATTTTGTGTTGTTTCTCTCTCAACAGCAACAATTGTAAAAGAAAAGCTTGAACGGTCAATGCTTCATCGTAATGGAATTCCAGAATGGGAAGATATAACTCACCTTTCTTTGTAAGACGAATTTTGTTGATGAAAGATGTTGAATCGTACTCAACTTTCAAATCAGGTGAATTGTTGAGAATGTCTTTCAATCGTTTAAGTTCTTCATTGAAAAATTGAATGTCTGGTTCAGCAAAATCATTTTCTTTACGACAATGAATGAGTCGTTCGGTCAGTTGTTTCAAATTTGAATCGAGATTGGTAACAAATGTGATGACACGCGATGAGAGCTCATGACGAAGTTCATTGGACACTTGTCGAATCTTTTCGATCGATTCACGTTCCCATGTATCGACTTGTTTGATTAATTCATGTTTTTGTGGCTCGACTTTTTGTTCGTCGATTTCAATTTTGAATGCATTAAATTGATCTTCAGTTTTACCTAATTGTTCGCTTAATTCATTATAATGTTCATTGATGTGATCAAGACAAAAATCTTTCGAACAACCTTTACATGTGACAATGCTCTTTGTTTTCTTGCATTTAACACAAGTCGTTACCTGCATTGCTGTCGCCATATGAAAATCTGCTTTAAAAACAAAAATAAAAAGAAACGAAAGAGAATTGACAAAATGTGATACCAACCATACCTATATTGATTGTGTGTCATGTCAACAAGAGTAATTGCGCCATCAAAGTGTTTCGTTACATAGTTAGATTTCATCATGAAAAATTTCACAGCCAATCACAATAAATGTTTCAAAATTGTGCATAGAAAAAAAAAAGAATTTGTGCGTTAGATTTAAACTCCAATTTAGAATTTTAGTTCGAACAAAAAATAGGATTCATTGTTCCTCAACTCATGTGTATCTTTCTTCTCTACATACCAAGCACATTCATCAGTTAATATTTAGAGATTTGTGAATGTTCGAAAATAACTAATGCTTTATAAAATCAAGTCATTTATAGATTTGATTAGATAGACGAAATAAAATCGCTTCTGATGTGAAAAACTTCTCTTCCCATCAATTAATGATGGAATGATTACAAGGTTACTTTTAGCTATGCACTCAACGACACAAATGGATTCGAAATCTTTTGTTTTCTAAATTATCAATGCAATTTCTCGGCTTAGTTCTTTCCTCATTAGATAGAATTCTATTTTTTTCTTTTATTGATGAACACTATTTGACATTGAGCTGAATTTGTATCAAGTGAACTTTCAGAACATGTTATGTTCATAGGCCGTCAAAATACTCGATCGAAAAGATGATCTCATAATCTTCCAGCAGGCTATAATTTAGTTTCTTACATGAATGGCACAGCAAGAAGGCCTGATTAGGCATATACATTGGATAGATAAAAGTTAAAGCGTACTCTGTAAGAAGTAAAGATTATCTATTACTGTTTAGTTGTCATGTTCTTCTGACAAATGACGTCTTGCTAGAGAGTCAGTCCACATTCCACTTTTAAATAAAAAAACAGATTGATAAAACTGTCTTTCTGAATATAGCAAACTGTTATCGTTATATTTGACAATATTCATAACAACATTCACCGCTGAACGCTCCTTAAGTGATACGAATCAAATAAAAACATTCACATGTTTTGCAATGACCAATAACGTTTAAATCATGTTATCCTTCCTCAAATTCATCGATAAAAATTACGTTTTCTTGATTTGAGCAGCAACTGCTCTAATTTTTTTAGTGTTTTTTAGCTTTTTAAGCAGTATTTCTCTGTACCTTCGTTAGTTCTGGATTTTGTTCGAAATAATGACGTATTAGAGAGTTACTACATTTCAAGAGAACAAAAATATTGCTAGAAAGCCTATAGTGCTTACCATTATACTAAATAAATAAAGAAAAATTACTTTTCAACTCGTTCTTCGACCAGGTTAAGCTAAAAATTTCAGTTTACCTTAGAATGAAATCATTCCGCCGTATCTAGTTCCAAGTTTCACCAAAGAATTATAGTTATTATCTCAATTCTTGTAAGACCGAATGATCATAGTCAGAAGACAATTAACTCTTCCGTTCTGTAAAGTTGTGTATATATTCTATATCTTCCTTGGTAGTACTTTATCGAGGTGCAGAGAAAAACTTGCAAAAACATCTAATCTTAGATTGATTCGAATCGAGATCTTTAAGAGAAAATAATTGATACACATCAATGTCTATAAGTATGTCTTTAATGTTCTTTTACTGGTACCATAAAAAAAACATTTGAACCACAAATAATCACAAGAATGAAATTGATCGAGTAGTTAAACAAAACTATTGATAAAAATACGAAAGGTTCTTCTCAATATAGAAGTTCATTTCATAAAGTTTTATTAGATAAAACATTGTGTCACAATTAATCTTGTGTTTTTTGCTCTTGCGTTTCTGCATCGAATGATTGGAAGATATTGGAAGTACAGCAAATAACAAGAAAATGAACATTGAACAAGAATGAGAATAATCAATTCAAGTTCAACTGATTTACTTCATTTTCTTTATTTCATATATTCGATGATTGATTTAGTTTATCGAAGAATCATTTGCTCGAACACATCAATACTTCGTTGGCTTTATTCTGAAAACAATTTCATCTAATCGAGATGCTTACATATGGTTGTTCTCTTTGATTGATTCTTTGTGCTATTTTTAGTGTGTTTATCTCAGATGAGTAATCGAAATTAGTTGCATCTCTGTCATTGATCCGTTGTGACCAAAAGTGATCGAAATTTTTCCAAATATCGCACTTGTCCATCGTTTTTGCCACTCATGCATTCATTCTAGTTAACTTAATTGAATATTTTCATTACAAATTTAATTGATTTTGATTTGACAATTAATTGAAGCAAATCTTCATCTAACACCTCAACAAACACATATCAAAACTAGAGGATTCTGGAGTTGATTGGCTATTTGTTATGAAATTTTCACTAGTCGATCAAAGCAATGGATCATTATCATCGTTTGCTTGTAAAATTCAACTAAAAAGCAAAGTTTTCCTTGTGAAACATTCATAAATAAGATCGAGCAAAGCCTTCATTTTATCAGATAGAAAAATACCATCCTCGTTTTCCTACTCAGAAAAATTGAGTCAATTCTATAGGTTTTCACTGATTAGAATAGCTTGACATTAAATAAATAAATCAAGCGAATGAAATCCTCGTTATGTACAATCTAGAATTTGAATGTTTTTCACTTTCGTCAAATCGAACTTCATTGGTTTTCAACTTATCGACGTCTTCGTCAATTGAAGTCTCTCAGCCCAGGTTTCAGTCTCTTTGAAAACTTTTTGTACCACCAACATTGACGATGTGTTGATTGATAATGGAAAGTTCAAATAACGAGTGGATCAATGAAAATAGTCATAAAGATCAGTACGATATACATTAACTTCTTTTTTCAACGATAATCAACTTTCTAATAGCTCGTACGAGATCAACAGCAAATGGTAAAGTTACCACTGAATGACAACACAAATCCATAGAAGTTCATGAAGAATAGGATGCTTTCCAAATGTTTAAAAGTACCGTCTGTTCCATTTTGGCAAAAGCCATCGATTAGCAGTTCTGTATCTTCGTCATCTAAATATTGATCACTTCTGCTTGAAGGACTGAACGTTTGAGACACAGATTCAATTAATACGAAGTTCATTCAAAATTATCAGAGAATTTAAAAGAGAATTATCTTCATCAAATAAGTAGATCGAGCCACAGTATGATCCGACACTCAATGTCGTGATAGAGCAGCATTTTTCACTTTATTGACAGATATTCCTCATGATATTTATGTGTCATGAGTTGTCACATCCGTAATAATACTTGCGAACACATTATTTCTACTATTGTTTCTTTACGGTCAACGTTTTAAGATGACACAATTTCCTTTCATCGACCTTTTTAACACTGTGATATGAGATAAGAACAAATTTTCGATTTGTCGTCTAGTTCTAGATTATTATTCAGTGCATATCAAGCTTTTTCACTCTTTAATTCATCGAAATTTAACTCCTCCTTGACGTTTGTCTTTTTTCGCTGAAGAACTTCAGAAATCATCGATTCTAAAATGATGAAAACAAAAGTTTTCGATACAACTTGATGGAAAAAAGATTCTCTTCTGTATGATTTAGGATTATCTACTAATCAATATAAGATAATCTTATTTGAAATGATTTATTTGCTCGATTACTTGTGCAAGACTATGACGGAAACGATAAAGCAATGTCAATTTTTGAAAATCATCAATGTCGATCAATGTTGAACTTTTGTACTCGATCATTGCCTTCATCACTCACATACAGATTTCTCTCTCGATCAAATGACAAACCGGTGGGATGATAGAGTTGATTTGATTGATTTCCTTGACCGTTTTCACCAACGATGACAGTTCCCTGTATGGCTCCTTGAGTCCATCGCATTATTCGATTATTTCCATTGTCAGCCACATAGACAGTACCTAAAAGATCCACGCTAATTCCAAAAGGATTTGATAATTGTGCAAGACTATTTCCTTGAATTTGACCACCAGCTACAATAATACCTTGCTTCGCACCTTTCATCCACTTCATCACGCGATTATTGTTGGAATCTGATACGTAAACTGAATGATCTCGATCGACAAATACGTAAGTGGGTTGATACAACTGATTGAGACGATTTCCTGATCCCTTTCCACCTGCAACGACTGTTTCTTGACGTTTTCCCGTTCGATATTGTCTAACTTCATGTTTATCATGATCAACAATATAGAGAAGTCTATCATCGTCCATTGTCAATCCCCAACATCCAACATTTGAGATGATCGTTTCTCCACTTTTACCATTTTGACGAGGCCATCGAACAACTCTTTTATTCTCATAATCACAGATAATGAGACTATCTCTTTCTTTATCAATAATTACGTCTGTTGGACAGTTCAACTGATCAGGACGGTTTCCTGCTCCATTTCCACCTGCTACAACTCGACCAGTCGTTGCACCACGCTTCCATTCGACTATACGATGATTTGAACAGTCAGCAATGTAGACAGTTTGATCATCACCAACATACGAACCCCATGGATTGCAAAGTTGATGCATTCCGGCACCACGCCCATTTACTCCAGCGACAGTGATACCATTTTGTATCCATTTTGTATTTGTATTCAGATTTGCATTGGATAGAACTGGTGCTGAAAACAAGATACAATTATTCTAACAGTTGTACTGAGTTTTCATATGGAACAATATCTTAAAGGTAATCTCATTAGTTTGTTATTATGAAAAGTGAAAAGCCAGGGAGCTTCAATTGAATAGCAAAAAATATTGTAATTTTCTTTTCATCTAATCATCATTGAAAAACTCTTTATCTCTGAAACAAGTTTTACAACTGAATGTCTTTAACACTCTTGAGAATGAAATTGAGAGTTGAGAACTATTGATAAGATGTCAATAATGAAATCAGAATTTGTTTTTTCTGAAGAACAGATGATCGACATATAAAAAAGATATTAGATGAAGTTTCATCTAGTTCGATCTTCATTTAATCAATCCGATGAACTTTTGAAATCTAGGCAAACAATTGAGAAAATTATTTTCAACATTCTCTGATGATTTAGAATCTTATAGATGCGACAAAAGCTTTGAAATATTTAACATGATTATTAATTTTCGAACAATTATTTCAAAATTATCTTCAGGTAAAATTTCTACGTTATTTTATCTTTTTATTTCTTTAACTTATTGCTATCTTTGAAAGAAAGAAAAAGTTGACTTATTTTTATTCAACTATTGAAAGTCGTACTCGGAAGTTATGTTATTGTCGAGTTTAGCTTAAGAGAAATTCAAAAAGTTTCAGATGACCTTGTGATTTTTCCTTAGATTATGTCAAACATGATTTTTTTTCTCTATTGAACACGGATGAACTTCAATTCATCACAATTAAAAAGAATTACATCGCAAACTAGATTCAATGATCGTTGTTTTTATTTCGTTCGATTTCTTATTGGAAAAGTACAAATGAATGTATCATTTGAATATTTTGAAGATTCGCTTGATTTTTGAAAAAGCATGTCCATCATGTTTTTCTCTTCACTCCTATTTAATATTCTTTTTCGATAGTATTTGCAAATATTCATCATGTAAGTATTCAAAAACAAAGATAGTCTTTTTTTCATTTGTCTCTGAAAATTGAATCGTTATTTGAAAATGTTTTATTTATCGGATGAAACTCATTGAAAATACAAGATCTTGCTATTCTCTTTTTTCTATTCAATCTCAAAGAGATGGTTGGTCATTGACGAAAATTGGAAATAAAATTTCAGAGAATAAAAGAGTTTTATGTTGGATGAAAATCAACTGAGCTTTGTGTTAAACCGAAAAGTTTCGAATAGTATTTTAATTATTTTTCTTGAAAATTCTATGTCTCTCGAAGTAACTCTAATCTCTGGATGAATTAATATTTAGATCAGTTGATGAAGAGAAAAAAGTTCGATTGAATAATTAAAAAAAAAAATGTTTGACTAATTTGTTGAAGAGTTTCTTTTCTTTTGTATCTTTAGTTCAATATACTCACAGTATAGTTGTTCTGCTCGAATATAGATGAGTCGATTCCAATCAATTTGATCATTATCAACAATCATACATTTATTTGTATCTTTTTGAATAAATGGTTTAAGTATTTGTTGTATTTCATCGATTTTTTTTCGAAGTCTATCAATATCATTTTCAAGAAAATTCTCTTCTTCTCGACGATAAAGAATTTCTTTTGTAATCGGTTCAATTTGTTTTACTACATTGATTCTTTGTTTATCAATTAATTCGATAAGTTGATGTTGAACTTTTTCTGCTGCTTTTTCTACTTTATTTATTGTTGTTTTTTTCCATTGTTCAATTTGATTAAAAATATCCAATGACATATAATTATCTTTTTCTAACTTTTGTATTTGACCAAGAACTTCATCATGAAAACTAACTATTTCATTATCAAATTTCATCGATAATTGTTGTTCATGTTCTTTGAAATCCTTTGAACAAAAATATTTTTTACATCCAATACAATA